GGGTGAGTTACAGGCTGCATCTGCTCGAAAAGAAAAATGCTGGTTTGGGTCATGCCTGAATCACATTGTCAAACATTTCACGAGCGAAGTCATAAACTAATTATTTCTCACAAAATTGCATCAGCGAGTCATATGGCTGATGGCAAATTGACGGCACAAGTAAAATGTTATGCCCTAGGCAAATTCACACCTCATTTCAGTGTTAAAGCTAACACCATACAACATAAGCTATTAAACTTTTTACAGCATGAGCACAGGGTTATTATCACAATTTCCAAAACAGAAAAGGAAATGTTGTTCATCCTGAAGTTTGCCAAATATCAGCCAGAGCGCAGAGGATGTATCTATCTATCTATCTATCTATCTATCTATCTATCTATCTATCTATCTATCTATCTAACTATCTATCTATATAACTATCTATCTATCTATCTATCTATCTATCTACCTATCTATCTAATTATCTATCTATCTATCTATCTATCTATCTATCTATCTATCTATCTATCTATCTATCTATCTATCTATCTATCTATCTATCTATATATATATATATATATGTATATATATATATACGCTATTGATATATCACACATATATAACATACATATATACACATATGAATGGGCCAGAGCTCCAATAATTGATTTTGCAGTCTGCATGCATCATGAGTCAAGTGCTTCAATGCAAATATAGTCTGAACTGAGTCAAATGAAAAATGGAACTGCTGAGTCACGAGCTGAATCAGATTCCACAATCTGTGAACCAGAACAGAGCTGACTCAAGACATTCGGGTCAAACACCAAAGCCTGATGCTGACCACATCTCGAGGCTAGTATCCCATTTTTTGCACTACCCTGATGACAACATCTTTCCCAAAGCCCTGTAGTCCAGGATATATCAATATCATGCTCAGCCGGTAGATAGCACTCTTTTGTAAGTTACGCGCAAGAGTTTCTCCAGGCACGTTTCCTAACCACTTCCACGATGCACCCCACTGACCACTCACCGATCGACCTTGCCGCGCCCTAGGAGGAACTCGCATTCAAATAGGAATTGGGATCCCGAAGTGGTGAAGGTTTTCCACTCCCATCGAACGAAAAGAAATTCACGACGTTCACCTCTAAACAGCCTCGTTTCCTCTATTCAGCCCTAGGTTACCGAGATGCTCCGTTTAGTATCTATTAGTACTAAACCTTGCCAGTTTTAGTGAGAATCGGTATTAAACACGGTGCCCCTCTTAGAAAAAATCCGTACTAAACATTCTCGGGATGTGTTGTCAAAACAGCACGGCCCCTAATACAATCGCAATCAGTCGTGAACGTAAGCGTGAGCATTTTCGCGTTGTCCGGCACTTGTCGTGGACGGTACAATTTTTGTCATTTCTAGGCCATAGATCAATGCTATAAAAGAACGCCTGTCTGCAAAAAAGTACGACACAAAAACCGGGCACGCTCCGGAAAGTTATAATAAAGAAGACGCGCCGGCGAATCTGTCTTTTTCCCCGCTGCTGTTTTTTTCTTCTTCTTTTGACGTATTTCTTACAGACAGCGCGGTTGGTGCCTTGTGTACAGGAGCAAATAACATTGCACGGGTTTATGGGATAGCAAGGCGTTATAAAGTTAGGGAAACATAACGGTAATTTTATGTTTATATTTTACTAACTGTTTCACATGTACTGCACCCAAATTTAAATATTGAACCAAAAGTTGTGTTTCTCAAGTACAACCACTTGAGCCGCATTACTATGAACCCTCGTTGGGACTTTGTTTTAAAGGGAGGTCGGGGTAAAATGCGGTGTTATAACAAAAAATCTGTCCGGAACTTGCGAGAAAACCTGCAGTTTGGTAGTCCCGCGAGCTGTGCAAGTGTGAGGCCACACTTATTTGACGAGAGAGTGTGAGTCAGAGGCTTGAAATGTGTGTGATCACTGGTGCGTGCCAGTGCCTTGTATTGGTCTTGATGTGACGGGGAGTGTGCGTGCGAGGTGTGGGCTTTTGAGACAGAACATGAGAGAGGCTTTAGAGCTTTAGAGAGAGAGAGCCATCCCACTCACCCCAAAATATAAATAGCAACCACGTCGACCAACCCACAAGATCTAAATGCGAAACAAGTAAGACGTGTGCATGATAAACATTTCCGGAGGGCAGAATTTCGCCATCGATCACTTCTGTATTAGCTGCGTCAGGTCTGTCTCTAACCCCTATATGGCAGCATAAGGAGAGCCTTGTCAGGTAGCCTAGTGAGTTAGACACTCAAAAGGCTTAGATTTATCATTATCGAGCACCCCCATGAACCAAAAATGGCTAATCGGGGGTTTAACAGGGCAAAAATGGCGGTAAAAATCAGTTTCGTGCTTCAAGTTGCCTCCTTCATTCCCTGTGACTTCTTCACTCTTGGGTGCATATCAAACTTTTTTGGCGGCTGGCGAATAAATCCAGTTTATGTAAAAAATATGTGCAAGTTTGTAGTTCGGGTTTCTTGCACAGAAATTGGTCAACATTTTAAGCAACAGATGGTACCTCTAAAGGCAACGGTTAAGGAAGGAAGAATAAAGTGGTGTCACACTCGTATGACACCAAGAAATATGATACCAAGAAAAACAAAAGCAGTTAGGGAAATACAAAGACTGGCACTTTTTTGGAACAGTTTTTTTATTGGCTGATTTGCCTTAAATCTGTTAAAATAAGTGCCCAAATTATGATATTCGTCTTGTAAATTTTATTCAGAAGGCATTTCTTGAATTTTTCACTGCTGCATTTCGGGAGTGATGCGATTTAGTCGTCAAGTTTCTTCGGGTAAAAAATACCCGGAGCAAAATTCTCTACCAGGCCTTGCTGGTGTTTGGACCAGGGTCTATCTTCCTGGTGTGGTGGTGAGACAAAAAAATTGTGGATGCGTAAAAACCTTCCATTTGACACACTGCCGCCGACTGTGATGCATTTTGTAAACAAACCAAACTTGATGCGTGCAGGCGGCTGGATTTGCTGGGGGGTCTTGGGCTTGAAGGTACCTGACACCTTTGTTCTGTGCATACATAGACATGATTCAGATTTAGGTGAGGCAGGACATTGCCATAGGTGTCCAGGTTCTGTGGAGCCTGGCTTATGCTTGGTGGTTTCAAGTGAGCTCGATTTTGTATGACATCTGAAACCTCAGAATGGGAAATATAGGTTTGGCATGTGCGATTAGACAATGTCAGGCAGGGGTGAAAAATTCACATAAAATATGGGGTAAAGGAGTGAAAAATTATTCCTCATAAGGTGTTGCTTTACACCCAAAGTCCGCAATTCTAGGACACTGCTAACATATAGGGTCTGGTCAGGGTTCAGTATCCCCTGAGCAAAGGGCAATAACCGAAGATCAGTGTACATGAATTAGCGCCCCTGTGTGATCAAGGGTGCCTGGGCAGGTTGACAGAAAAAACTCTAACAAGTGAGGGGTCCTTATCAAATAAGCTCAAAAAGGGAAAAAGACTTAGATCAATGAAGAAAGCCCCTGAGCATCCACTGCTTTGGAGCGTTACCTTATATGGGGCCCCAGCAACAGCACGGAGTACTCCAAGCAAGTGGAAAGAACCCGATATGAAGAACCCGAAACCAATAGGAAGGGCCGCTGAGTAACCGAGTTTACCCCGGCATTTTGGGCCCCGGTAGCAGCGGCGGGGCGGGAGAGCCCGTTTACCCCGCGGGCGCAGCGGTCCCCGCTGAGCACGCGCCGCGCGCCACGCCTCCTGCCGCGGCGCCGCCCGGCGCGTCTGCGCCCAGTCCGCCGATGAGCCCCGGGGCCGCGCCCAGGCCGGACACGGCCGCCAGGCGTCTAGGAAATTTATGGTAAGCATGCTGCACTGTACGCATCATGTGACGATCAGTGGAATGACAGGTTGACTGTGTTCGCAAAGAGGGAAGTAGCAGCAGGAGTCAAAAAGGCTTCTGTAGTGTCATCTAGCGGCAAGAATCCAAACCAGCCTGAGCACCGGAGATGATAGGCGTTTTGAGCACTGGACTTAACGACTTTGGACCTCGCGACTCTGGACGTTGCGGGTCTGGACCTTATGAACGCCCCCAATGGGCACGGAATTAGACGCATTCTGGATGTTATGAACGCTGGATGCTGCGATCCTGAACGGTATCAACACCGGCCGCTGCAATCCTAGACAATTTGATAGCTCCCCGTGGCGCGTAGCGCGTAGCTAACGCTAGCGTGCTAGCCTCGGGGCCCCGCCGCTCCGAGACGTCACACACATTGTCGTTCCCCCGCCACTCGGCATCGGTAACCGGCTTTCCGGATACGCTCTGTGGGCCGTTCCCGGGGCGATGATCTTGCTTGCGGAGTGGTGTCGCCGTGTAAAGAGGATCTTGATGTGCACCTTTGATAAAAACGAAATGGAAGAAAAATTAACTCCAAGATAGTCAAAATTACTTATTTATCTCTCAGTTCTCTATAGGATTTCATTGCCTTTAAAACACCAGCACGCATTCCTTCCATTGCTTTTAACCTTCATTCCAAGTCAGATTGCAAATGCGATGTTTCTTTTAGCGACATCTTTAAAAGATTTGCGATGATTTCCCTGTCATAACACTGATGAAGTGACTGTATCGGCACAGTATACCTTTCTCTCCAGAGTGTTTCTCCAATTACGTGTGTCTAATGTAGCCAGGTGAGCCGTAACAGTTCCAAACGTCTTCTTCAAGCTCCCACCAATGACTCGAAGGCATTTAGTTGTGGTCTTAGCACATATTGTCGGAATCATTTGCAGCAATTGGTCAGAGAGGTGTCAGCATGGAAATTTCATTTCCCAAACAGCGTGAGTATACACTTAACTTTGCATCCTAAACATGCATACATTCATTCAACTGTACGCCTCTCTGCTGTAGCGCATACGTGGGGGCGTGTCCGGCCGGTCCTGCGCGTTGTCAGCACTGCATGCCACAGCGGGCCGGAATGGGGCCGGCCCCGCGGGTCGGCCGGCGAGACCGACCCAGCTGATGCCTACCAGAAGCGCGGAACGTGCAGGGAAGATGCTTAGTGGCGGTCTCCGTGGGTAAGGTTCCCTTTACGCAATCTACCCGTCACCCATGAGACTGTGCCGATATCTATTCGCTGCCCATTTGTAATCAGCTTCACCCGCCCGTTGCCCTTTCGCTACTATTTCTTATCGGATGTAGCCACCCATTACCCACTCATACGCATTATTCAAGCACATTAGTCCTATGATGTGAATGAGTTCCATGAAAGTATGCCGGCAATTGATTTCCTGCACCCTAACAGCAGAAGTACTGTGAATGGAAATAATTATGGCAGAAGAGGCGCAAATGGCACCGTTACGCAGCATTTCTTAAGGCATCATCCCGACATTTTTCACCATTTCACTCACAACCGCATCCACACACGTATTTTCCCAGAATCTGTACACGCCCTATCCCGTTACCCATTATATATAAGCTACCCATGGGTTTACCCAACCCATAAGGTCCTAGTGTTTAGTCCACGACCGACAAGCACTACCGCGGGGTGCCATGGATCGCAGCATGGGTTCTAGGCAATTCTGCCGTGTGGCATGCAATTTAAAAGCAAGTTTTTTCTTTGCAACTAGCCTAGTATAAAAAAGGATGAGAGTATGATTTATTGGAACTTTTAAGTATAGTGAAGGCAACACCCAGTCGCTGGAGTGAGCATGGAGTAATTATTAAATTCCATTGAGAGCCGTTCCTTCATGGGTTAGTTTTACCCAATACTCCAGCCTGATGTCAAACAAAGCGCCCATATAACTCAAGGCTTTGACTCAAAGCCGTGCGGGGAATGGGGGCCGCAGTTCTTGGCTTCATGGTTGCACTTGTAACGCTGATGCAGCAGCTCTGAGTCGGGCTACTGACGTCTGAGCTCAGCTCAGGGTTCACATATTGGGCTTGGACCGAAATGTTGGATGGCACCGAGCAGGGGCGGATCTAGAGGGGCCCATGGGGCCTTGGCCCTCCACTGGACCCCGAAGGGGCCCATTGTCTCCGAAGGGGCCGGCCAAACAGGTGCAGTTTTTTTTAACACGAAACAACAAAATTGGGCGTCTTTGGACTTGCAGACGACCGAGAACAGTCGCAAACGAAAGTAATGGGCCTACGAGTGGACAAAGGCAAAACTTCATGACTGGAAAACCGTTATTTGTGAATTTTAAGCTTCATTATGCTGTCCGGGGGCTTATGCCGTTTCTGCGGGCCTATATGCTCACGTACTTCTTATTTGAATGGAGGGCCTCGTGCTCTTGTCGGGCCCCTTCTGATGAGTTGCTTTGACACATTGAATCGCTGGGTGACCTCCACATGGGGTCTTGGGTGCCTCCTATTTGAATGAAGGGCCCTGCGCTCCTGATGTGGGCCCTATCTGTTAACCTGCTCTGGCGCATTCGATCATTCGGGGGCCCTCTATATCTTGTGGGTATTTCGCATCTGAACGGAACGCCCTACTCTCTTGTCGAGGGCCCCATCTGTTAACCTGTTAAGGCACACTCGATTGTTCAGGACCTCACCTTGTGTCTTGGGTGCTTCCTATTTGAATGGAGGACCTTACGCACTTGTCGGGGCGCCTTTGTTAGTCTCCTCAGTTGCACTGGATTGTTCGGGGACCCTGTACATTAGCTCTTGGTGTTTGAATTTAGGGCCCTACACTCCTGTGGGGGGTCATCTGACATGCATTCCATCTTTCGGGGGGTCCTCGACACTGGGTTTTGAGTACTTTTATTTGAATGAAGGGCCTATGCTCTTTTCCAGCCCATTTTGATAATCTGCTCGTGCACATTCAATCGTTCCGGGGGCCATTTGCATTGTGTTTGGGTGCTTTTTATTTGAGTGGAGGGCCCTACGCTCTTGAGGGGGGGGGGGGGCCATCTGTTAAACTGTTCTGACGAATCCGACCATTCGGGGGCCCTCCATATCGTGTTGTGGGTATTTCCTATTTCAACGGAAGGCCCTACGCTCTCGATGGGAGCCCAGTCTGTTAACCTGCTCTGGCGCACTCGATCACTCCGGGCTCTCCATACTGCCTTGAGTGCTTCTTACTTGAATGGATGACCCTATGTTCTTGGTGGGCCCCACGTATTAGGCTGCTCGAGCCGTTGACAGGTACAGAGGGGGGGGGGGGGGAGGGGGAAAACCGGACCATGCCTCATGCACCATGCAGAGGGGACCTGCGGGCTTCAAAGTGGCCGATAACTGGTCAAATGGACACAATTTTCTAATGATAAAAAACAACAAAATTGGACGTGTTTGAGCCTACAGGCGACATAGAACGGTTGCAAAAGAAAGTAAAGCGTTTATGAGGAGGCAAATGTCAGTCTTTACCGATTAAAAGAATGGTGATTGAAGGATATTGGGGGACACATAATGCTTTCCAGGAGACCTTACGCTGCTACCCGAGCCATTTTGTCGCTTTGACTGGTCAATTTGATCGCCATGGAGCCTTTCACATTACCCTTGGTCTCTTATCATTTTACCATTTCCGTACATAATCTCAACGCGGCTGTTGAGACACTACGTGCTTGCATGCCTGGGTGCTCTTGATCGATCAGGGGTCTTCCACCGATTCTCACCATTCACCCGAAAGGCTCTATATGCTTGTTCCGTGGTCCCATATGCCAGGGTACACTCAGTTGCTGAGGAGCCGTTCATATAAGTCTCGGGTTCTTTCCACTTGCTCAGAGGACCTTGTGCTGTTGCTAGGGCTCATATGAGGTAAGGTATAGAGACACTCGATGCTCAGGGCCCCTGTTCTTTGATCGAGCGTCCTTTCCCTGTGATCTCATTTGCGGGGACTTTTCACTTCTATCGGGTTCTTTTTGTAACTTGCCCGGGCACTTTTGATCGCACAGGGGTATCAGTTCATGGTCCTGCATAATTCCCTTTGCTCAGAGGGTCCTGTGCTCTGGCTGGAGCCTTATATGTCAGCCTGCCAGGGCACTACCGATCGTTTAGGAGCCCACCACGTTCGTCTTGGGTTTTTTTCAATTGCCCCGAGGACTTCATAGTTGTTGACGCAAGCCTCTTTGTGGGCCTCGCAGGGTACCCATGATCAGTCAGGCTCGGTCCCTATTAGCCTTGGTTCCTTAGCCTGAGAGCAGCAGCCCCATATGCGCCGATGAGTTTTTACGCGCAAGTTGTCGAAAGCAATTTTACGTGCCTCCAACGTCGCACGTGTCATTTCCCTTGACGATTGAGTGTGTGACAGCTATCAGACTTGTGCATCACGTTCTTGGCATATTTTGAATGACATAATTTTTTGTACTCGTTTGTAACAAATAACAAATTCTACATTAGTTATCAGTCATCATCTGACTACATCGTCCAGTCAGCTAGCCGTAAAATAAGCTAGGAATCGAGAACGTGCTTGGTTTTGATGGTATTTAGCAGCCAAGTTGAGCTCATTTTGCCTGTTTTTCCGAAACAGGAGAAAATAAACAACCTCTATGCGTGTACATGCATAACATGCCCAGCTGTAGCATAGTGAGATGGGCTGTCATGTTAACTATATATATATATATATATATATATATATATATATATATATATATATATATATATATATTGTATGTATGTATATGTGTGTATATTTAAAACTATATATGTGTATATACATGCTTTTTTGTCCTAACTTTCAGGATCTGGCACATTCATCGGTGCTCCAAAATGGCTTGCATATCTACATTTGGCCTCACCTTAGTTGAGATAGGACATGGAAGGGCAAGATGTGCATTCTAGGTGCTCAGCAGTCCTTTTTTCGAAATTTTTGTCCTGCTTTAAAGTTCGGCGCGCAACATTTCGCGGACCAAATCTTCCAAGGATCAGTTTAGCGGATTTCGAGATCTCGATGTGCTGGATCGGGCCCGGCGTGAAACGGAATGTACCGCATGAAAAAAGGGTTAGCGTTGCGTACATGACGTCGCATGAAGACAAACGCCTCTCAAAAACACCGATAGGTCTCCGCGTCATGAACCCCAGCGCAAACACTGGCACCCACCATAAAATGTTTCTTTAAAAATCAACATAACCTCAGAGGAGACAATCATTGCGAACCTGCGGCATCGTGCAGACAATCCACCGTCGTCTCTGGCACCAGCCCGTTAGTTCCCTTCTTCTTGCCACGGAAAATGCCCTAAGGCCGGGGCTCAGAATGGCGTACATCCAGTGTTTTCGACTAACTTTCACGGCCCTGATACCTAAGTTTGAATGTTCTCTAGACTTTGATCATTGTAAAATAAGCATCATTCGCAACATCTCGCGTCCAACAATCCTGCCGAAAATTTGTCACTAAACATCTGCCCGAAAAATCCTAACTTTAGCTGATTACCTGACAGGTACCGCAATGTCCGCTGCCCCTTCCATCGGAATTTTCCCTACGCTGCCTGGTTTCCGCACTGGCGGACGGCTGCGCGGCACCGGGGAGCCGCCATCGAGACTGCCGCTGCGGAAGCTGCCGTCACCAGCGCGGCACGGGCGGCCGCACCGCCGGGTCCCGTTAGCGAGCCGGTGGCCCCGATTCCCATCGCTCGGCACGCGGCGCAGACGCGGCGTCAGTGCGCAGCCAGGCAGCTGGCGACCGGCTCGCTGGCGCCGCACGCCCACCGCCACAGCGACATGCGCTGGCGCGTGCGACTGCTGCGGATCTGCCGCAACAAGGTCAAAGGTCCGCTCTTCACCGTCTTCACCATGTGCTGCGTGCTGCTGGCGCTCTCCACGCTGCAGACGCTGCTCAGTGGCTCACGCCGGAGGCCACTAACCGGTGAGTGCGCGCCGCAGGGCAGCTGACCGGTGAGAGTGCGCCACAGGGCCGCTGACCGGTGAGAGTGCGCCACAGGTCATTGCGGAAAGGAAGGTTGGCGCTGCGTGCGTGTTGCGCAGCGACTGACTGGTGCCGTGCTTTGTCGCTCGAGACGTTCACAAATGCTCACTGGTGAGGGACCGCGTGGTATGCTGGTTGGTCGTTAATCATTTCAGTTGTTATGTTTACCCTCCCACCCGAATACCTCACCTGTATCTTGCTGTGTCCAATCTCCAATGTCAGGAATGTGGGTTGTGAGAAATGACGGGACCTGAGCAATGTGACTCCGGAGATGCGTAAGTGATGCATGGCCCACAAATTCGCCACCCTCAGCGGCTCACTCGTACTGCGTGGCCCAATACCGAGTGCGTGTCTCACCGTTTGCCCAGGAAAATAGCGCCTGAGGCTGACAGGCCTGGTTCCACCCCTCACCCCCCCCCCCCCCCCCAGCCCCCGGCACTACACACACACTGCACATCGACATTACCAGGCTCAACTTGTTCGTTTGTGGTCAAATGAATGTGTGTCAAGCCTATCCGGCGTCATAATGTACTTGCCGCAGCATAATGACTGGCATAGCAAAAACGGACTACATTTTCTCTGGACATCTGCTTGTTCGTGGAATGTACAGGGGCTCCGGGCCGTCCGAGGCGAAAGCGCCGCGGTCATTGCTGCCGGCCGCTGCTGGCGGGTGGAGTAAGCGCGCGCTGGCACACTTCAGCGGCGGGGCGGCCAGGGCCGTTGGCCTTCCGCAGATGGAGTGCAGAGGCGGCGGGGCAACAGAGGGAAAGGGCTATCTGTAGAGAGAGAGAGAGAGAGAGAGAGAGAGAGAGAGAGAGAGAGAGAGAGAGAGAGAGAGAGAGAGAGAGAGAGAGAGGAGAGAGAGAGAGAGAGAGAGAGAGAGAGAGAGAGAGAGAGAGAAGAGAGAGAGAGAGAGAGAGAGAGAAGAGAGAGAGAGAGAGAGAGAGAGAGAGAGAGAAGAGAGAGAGAGCGAGAGAGAGAGAGAGAGAGCGAGAGAGAG